TCTGTAAGAAGAGTGTTAAAGTCCCCTGTTATTATGGTGTTATAGGATATCATATTGCTCAGACTAAGGGTGCATAAATATTTACAATTGAAATGTCTTCTTGTTGTATTTTTCCCTTGACCAATATAAAGTGACCATCCTTGTCCTTTTTGACTTTAGTTTTTAAATCCACATGTATCTGAAAATAAAATCTGCAACTCCTCTTTTCCTCTGAATTTCGTTTGCCTGAGAAATTCGACAAAACTCAACAAAACTCAGAGTTTTGTCTGTTCAAGCTAGGTGTGTTTCCTGCAGATAGCAAATTGATGGCTTGTGTTTTTTACTCCAGTCAGCCAATCTATGCCTCTTCCGTTGGAAATTCAAGCCATTAACATTTATTGAGATAATTGGTAAGTGTTCTATTCATCTTATTTTGTGAGAGTCCATTGCTTAGTTTTATCTTTTGCATCATTGTGGAAGCTAGGTTCTGTCCTTTAATTTCTGGGTGCTTACTTTGATGGTGGTCCATTGTGATGGTCAATGTGTAGAACAGGTTGAAGTATTTCCTGTAGAGCTGGTCTTCTTGTAGTGAATTTCCTCAATGTTTGTATATCAGTAAATGATTTGATTTCTCTGTCAATTTTAAAGCTTAGCTTAGCAGGATACAGAATTCTGGGCTGGAAATTGTTATGTTTGAGTAGATTAAAGGTAGATGACCTTTGTCTTCTTGCTTGGAAAGTTTCATTAGAGAAGTCTGCAGTCACCCAGATGGATTTGCCCTGTAGGCCAACTGGCGCTTACTCCTGGCAGCTTGAAGAATCTTTTCTTTTGTCTTGGCTTTGGACAGGTTCATCACAATGTGTCTTGGAGAAGCTCTGTGAAAGTTGAGGCAACCTGGTCTGATATCCCTCTGAAAGGAAATTTTCATTTATAATATTCTCCAGTATGGCTTCCATTCCCCTGGGACATTCTTCTTTCCCTTCTGGGATACCTATAACTTGTATGTTTGAATGCTTCATAAAGTCTCGTAATTATGTCAGTGAAGGTTCTGCTTTCTCTCTCTTCTTTTCTGCCTCTTTAACTATCTGAGTTATC